GCGCAATCTATGATTTGACTAGCGAAACTCTACACATTTAAAATACATTCAATGTTTTTTGAATAAATTATAGGATATCAAGTGATTTTGTTAGTACCTATACCGGTTTAAAATTATTGATTGTTTTTAAAAATATTTAAATATAAATTTAGCTTTTATAATTTATTCTTATTGTTAATATAAAATAATGGTGAAAAATATTTCTTTATTGATTGCGACTAAAATGTAGACTAAAAACGCATAGGTACTAATTATACAACGAAATATTCAATTTATTTTTATTATATCAAAGAAATTAATTCTCTGCAGCATAAACTATTTTTGATATTTACAGAAGTATATGCGTGTGGGATTTAAGAGAATCCAAACTGCATCATCAGCAAGTCAACGGCCTCCCTTGTCCACTTCGTTCGCCGTCTTTTAATACTGGTAAATGCACGTTAGAAAAGTTTAATCAAAATTACCACATTATTTAGGTTAACACCGTTTGAACTTGTCTAGCTTTGTCAATTGACCATGGCCATAAGGCGAAAATTGTTGGCTTAAGCACAGTAACATACAATAATGTTACTAACGAAGAATTACCAGACGAGGTGAGTAATTTTAAAACAGTTTATTTGATTATTTCCATAAACTGTGTATTTTTCATAGTATAAAATTTTATTTTTGTCCAAATGTTAGAYTCTGAACGATAATTTTTATCTCTACCTGTACGCTTATATCAAACTCAAAACAAACCAGTACCTTTTTATGGTTTCCACTACCATCGAATATTATAATTTTCTCATCGGTACTTAAATTAATAAAAATTAAAAAGTAAATTAACATTTTTACAGCTTTGTAGCTTGGATGAAGATTTTGTTTTGGCCGTATGGACGATCGTGGACAGTTGGTCAGACGCTTACGAAATTTCAGAAAAAAGTGCCGGCACTGCGCCCTGGAGTTCCGTGAGATTACTAAAAATGCAAACTATCAATGCCAATAAAAATGTCCCTAGGTATAAAAAAAAACAAATTTTCAAATAGATTGTAAAATATTTGTACAGTAGATAGTTAATTCATAAACTCATTAATAATTTTAGATATTTGTCTGATGGTGTCATGGCCACATGCATATGTTTAAATAACATTCAAGATGCTTTTATTGGTACTAATTGTGGACTGGTTTTCCGGTGCAATTTGGGGGGACACAAAGTATGGCCATCGTACTTTACCCAAGAAAATACAGGTAACTAAAAATTGAATTTAGGGCAAGTAGTTTACGAGATATAGGTATTTAAAGTTTAGATGAGCAGAGTAGAGTGGTACGGGGTTACCCCACAACATATTTGTCCACTATACTCGGCTCATCCAAACTTTAAATATTTATAACTCATAAACTACTTGCCCTAAATTCAATTTTTATGTATCGAAATAATAAGAAAAATATTCTGTTTTGGAATATCAAATTAAAACTAAATGTTGTCTTTCAAAAAAGTAAAAAACTTAAAAAATTATAAGGATAAAAAAATGTTAAAAATATAATTTAAAAAAAAAATGGTTTTGTAAACGATTTGAAGCTATGAGTGTTTTACGCTCCATAAATCACCGTGTATATTCATTAACTAGTAAACTAACTAGGTATGAAATTTCATGTATCAATAAAGTAAAAAAAGCTCAATAGTTTAAAAAAAAATTATAAATGTTGTAGATGAACATTTTTCGGTGAACTCGTTGGATATTTGCCCGTTTGACTTGAATTTTTTTTTGGTAAGTAATTTTTGTATTTCTTATTCACTTTATTATATATTKAATTGAAAGTATTTACTTACTCATTCAAAGATTTTGAAGAAAACTTTCATTTAATTTAAAACAGGGAATACTCTTCTAATATAACGGTTTGGTTGATTAATATATTTAATAATTAATTAATGATCAAAGAACTATAAAAACATAACAGCGTATTTCATAACGCTTATTTATAACATAGCCTATTGAAAATTAATTGTTTGTCAGACTTCAAATAAACTGCAACAAAATATAAAGGGATAGAAACATTAGATAAAAATACAAGAGACGTAAGATTAAGGTACGAGCACACACTCAGAAACACGCCTACTTTCTCATTTCATAAATATCGAACTAAAAAATAAAAATACTACAATTTATTACGGAAACTATACAGCATAATATATTWWAAAAAATAAAAGTACTTGAAAAAATAAGTTAATTATAATTTTAGAATAATTTTAACTTTGTAGATTTGTTTGATATTTCTTTCTAATGTTCACATCTTATTTGAAAGAGAGGTAACTGGTAAAAAATTTATCTAACCAGTAAATTTCTATCGAGTAAATTTATTTGG